TGTGTGTGTGTGTGTGTGTTGTGTGTGTGTTGTGTGTGTGTGTGTGTGTGTGTGTGTGTGTGTGTGTGTGTGTGTGTGTGTGTGTGTGCTTATGTCTACTGCATGCATATTAGCTTCAAATTTTAGCGTGAGACCAATAAAGATTATCATTATTAGTTCTCTTTGATTTTTACGAATATATAAAAGAATAGAAGTTAAGAATATTTTTCATTTCTAAATTAAGATTTCCATTTTTTATTACAACGATGAAGAGAAAAGAACACTACTATTTTCATCATTTATTATGTTTGTTTGCTAATTTTGCTATATTTACATTTATTTGCATCCTTTTCTTGTCATTTTTTAAATTTCAAACAAACGAATTTTTGCATGTTTCAGAATCCTCAATTGCTCAAAAGTTTAACATTGATCAACAACAACTGAAAGGAATTAAATTGATGAGTCAAATAATTCTGGAATTTTTTTAAAATTTTCTATTTAAATTGACGAAATTTACATGTTTTCTTCATATTTGACATAAGTTCATTTTCTGAATAATTTAATGATTATTTTTGGAATAATTGTACAAGAAATAATGGGCAGTGGACAAAGATATCATTTTATTGTGGTATGATTGATGTGTCGGATTTGGTTGCATCCCCGCCGTGATTGTTTCGTTTTTAGTTGCTTCGATTTTTAGATGAAATCACTGCATTCTTTAGAACTGGAAATAATTATTTCTTCCAAAAAGAAATTTCTTGTATTTTAGCAAAGAAAATGTTTGGATACACATAATTGTTACTTCCACATATAACAGTTAGCAAAGAAAATGTTTGGATACACATAATTGTTACTTCTACATATAACAGTTTGTAGATTAATTTCGGATTGATTTCAGTTTGATCATTGTTCCAGTGATTTCCGGTCACTTTTCATTTTTGGTTTTTTTTTTTTTTCTCTGGTAACATTGTTTCTTTTTTCCTTTCAGTTTAAGTGATGAAATTGAATGAGCAGCGTGTTGAAGAACGTAAATCACGGCAAATTCAAACTGGAAGTGGTATTGTTGAAGGTAAGCAACTACGTTGTAACAAAGGTCCAATTGATGTCTTCCTTGGTATTCCATATGCAAAACCACCAACGGGAAATCGTCGATTCAAGGTTAGTTTAAACTGTAATCTTTGATTTGTAAAATATCACAAATCAAGAGATACGACAGAATGAAAGTAACTAATGTTGAAATTTTTTCATTTATTATTCTATTGAAATTCTTAATGCATTTGAATAATCGATATTGTTGCATATTCCTTTTTCTGTTAGTTTAATAGATGGAATTAGAATTTGCTACATTATTTGGAACAAAAAATCTCGCGCAGGGAAACAAATCGCGTCAAAAAGGTTGAAGTATTCTTCTGGAAGAAGAATCAAATTAGATTAGTTACAATTAAACTTTCAGATAATTCCACTTTATTCATTTTTCTTTCTAATTTCTAGAAATTTATGTTCTAAAATGAAGTGAAAATTGGAAAAGATCTATTTAAGATCATTTCAGAAGCCTGAAGTAATTTCACCATGGGCTGGTATTATGAAGTGCAAACGGTATCGAAGCCGAGCGCCCCAAAAGGACTTTTTCTGGGATCGAATAGATTTACGTGTTGGAAAGAATGAAGACTGTCTTTATTTGAATATTATCACGCCGGGATGGAAGCCACGGCCTGAATTTGTAAGTCGTATTCTCTGAATTACTTAGTAAATTCAATATTACGGAACAATGTTTTTAGGCAAAATTAATTTCTATTTGCATGACTTGAGTTTTATTAATTTTAGATTTAGACAGAAAATAATCAGTAGTTTTAACCAGAAGCATTCAATTTCAAATGATCTTGTTTTTTAATTTAATACATCATGGGGTTTTTCTTTTGGAATTTTTGTTACTAATTTTACTTTAGAAGAATGGTTTTCCGGTAATGTTTTACATTCATGGTGGTGGTTTTATGATCGATTCGGCGGTAAAATATCATTACTCGAAAATTGCCAGGTAATGAGATTTACTTGGAAGCTACTGAAAGCGGGCCAAGTAATTAATGAATTAAGCATGAGATCTTATTTTTTATTTTTGAATAATGTAAATTGTAAAATGTTTCTTTTTACCAATAGGACTCATTATCGGTTAATTATATCATTAAGTTTTATTAAACAGTTTAACTTCTCTGATTTCTTTTTCTTCATTCTAGACTTTTGGTATCCAAGGATGTGATTGTTGTGACAATCCAATACCGCCTTGGCTTTCTTGGTTTTTTTACAACTGGTGATGAGATCTGTCCTGGTAATTTTGGCATCTGGGACCAGGTTTTACTTTTCCACGTGTCGTTTGTGCAATTTAAAATCTCGGTGGTGACAGATTTAACTGGATCTTAATTTAAAATTTTGCTGAAAGTTAGGCATGCATAAATACTTTTTGTTACTTTCAACATTCTGCAGATCATGGCCTTAAAATGGGTGAAAGGGAATATTGAATATTTTGGCGGTGATCCCGACCGAATTACTGTTGTTGGCCAAAGTGCTGGTGCTGCATCTGCCGATCTGTTGGCTTTGTCACCTCATAGTCGAGGTTTGTTTAATCTAAATAATCATGTTTTATTATTTGGGAAATATTTGATCATTCTAAGAATGAAAATTTTGACAAGATCACGAAGGGAATATATAGTGACGAGAGATGACTATATCGATTGATTTTTTGTTTTTTCAAATATATTAGTTTTCAGATATGTGATAGGAAATCATTTCTTTCGTAATGTTTTAAAAGCTTCTTGAAAAATTTTTATTTTAGTATTTCATTTTTACAGAAATTAAATTTTCCAGATCTCTTCAAGCAAGTCATTTTATTGGGCGGTAATGCCGAATGTCCGTGGGCAGTATCAGATACCAAAACAGTTAGTGATTACTGTTGTCGACAAGCTAGAAAATTAGGCTGGCAAGGTAAGAATTTTATTACTCTTTCTTACTGGTCAACTTTATGATATGTCCCAACAGTATAAAATTGAATTGCGTGTTTGCTATACATTTTGTGGTGATTATTTCAGGCACCGATAATGCGGGAATGATAAGATTTCTGCGTAAACTACCAGCTTCAAAACTTACCGGTAGATTAATTGGTAATAAAGAATTGTTTACCACTGGTCGCTTACCATTAACACCAATTATTGATGGTGATCTGTTACCGTGTCCTATCAGTGAACTTCGAAAGCAGTCACCCACAAAACCTTCTATTGTTGGCCTCACGGAAGACGAAGGCTTACTTTTTGGTAAAGTTTTCTTTCAATGATTGGAATGAAATAAGTTGTCTAATTAGGAGTTACACGTTAAGTTACGTGCTTCCAATAATTCAAATGAATAAGTAACACGTGTCACGCGCTTTTAATGAATGAATGAGTTATCTAATGCGAGGGTTATACGTGTCATGTGCTTTTAATGAATGAAATTATTTATTTAGGAGTTACACGTATTACATGTTACATTGCTGTCGCGTTTATTAGCAAAAAGGTATAAATCAACTATGTTCATTGTTGAATCATTCAGCGACAAGCATCTTTTTTTTCCGAGCTACTTACTCTCTTTCGCTGAAATTTTTTTTTGAGGCAAAAGGAATTAAAATAAAATTTCAGCAGCAATCGGTCGATTAGCATGTGATATGAAAGATATCGAGATGGGGATGCAGCTAATGGCGGATGACATGAAAGGAAGTGAAATTAATGCTGAAGAAGTGGTCGGTCAAATTTATTTAAATCGTGGCGATGGTGGTGTTAATAGTCGACGGAAGATTCAACGAGCATTTATTGATGTAACGTGAAAACTCTTTTCAAATTTTCAATTTATCAAACCATGCTTTTGCTAATTCATTCTCACAATACATTAACTCAAATAGGCAAATAAGCAAGGAATCAAAGGGCAAATTTGTATGTTGGTGGTGTATGTAAAAAAGCAATAAAGAAAAATCAAGAAATAATAAGACAGATTAGATATTGATGTTGCCTAGATATATCGGATATTGTCTAAGCAGTAATGAATTGGAAGCACACCTGAATTTTTGAGCTGTTTATTGATCTAAGGATGAAAATGACTGAATGGTCCAGCTGGGATTTCAGGTGAATATCCTTCGGGGGTAAATGAGGTTAGTTAGGCTTGTAAGTCAACATTTGAATTCACAATTGATCATTAATCATGAAGTATGAGTACTAAGTTTAGTCCTGAACTTCAAAATAGCATTTAGTCATTTTCGCCTTTTTGCATCATTCAGTAAATCTTATAATTTTAATTTCACCATTAGTGCGTATTTTATCTATCATTTGTTGGTATAAGGTGTTGATTGGTTCATTCACTTCACCAGAATTTTGCATACATACCGAATCAAATGGGAATGTTGAGCGTTTAAGTGAAAGTAATTGTCTCGCAAGAATCATAAAACTGAATGAATTTTAATCGGGAATTAAATAAACGAATTACAGATGCTTAGCGATTTAACCAGTAATTATGGGACACGATTATATGTGGATAAATTGGTTGAACGAGGTGAAAGCGTTTATATGTATTCGTTAGAGCATTGTAATCCGGCTTGCTATGGCTTGCTCAATTTTTATCTTCCATATAGAAGTTCGTTCCGATTTTTGGATTTCATGACTTCAACAATTAGAAATTATCAAGTGATAAAACAACCGGGTCCAATACATCTATATTATAATCCATTGGAGATGATTGATAAAGAGATTGATAACATGTTCATTTACATTTTCTGGCTTTACTTTATCTTAATTAATTAGGTTATCGAAAAGACTCATCCAATACTTGAATCCTTGGTGTTTCGGTATTTTTCAAGATGGAGTGTAATGTTAGTGGCAGATATTATTCATCATTATTATTTAACTCTTGATTTTTTCCATTTCATTTTACATGAAATTAAATCATTACAGTTTAATTTTAGCAGCTACGCATGGAGTAGATTTAATTTATCTTTTGGATGCCAATATTTTCTTATCACCATTTTTCAAAACAACAATTGATAAGCAAATTACGCAATTTTTGACACAGTCGGTAGTTAATTTTATCAAATATCGGTTAGTAGATTTTACTATCATCGTTTTTTTTTCTTTTACTCTATACTTTCAAAATTCCAGATATATTTCAGATGTGCTTTCCTTTTTTCTGATTGCAGATCCAAAAATACAGATGTACATTGTTTCTATTAACGGATTTTTTTTTTTTCGCACGCTGAAGTCATAATTACAATTTATAGGTATTTCGGTGTTTTGCTGTTAACTTCATCACAATTAGATGAGGATTTAAATATTGTCGTTTAAGCAATTTAAATAGAAAGTTCCTTGCAACACACTTTAAATACGTTTAGTTTTTATGCAAACGAACAATTTTCTATTTCATCTCAGTATGATGGCAGTTAGACATATTTGGGAGATATTAAAAAAATTTGGGAGATATTAATTAAATTTTAATTAATACGAGTTGGAATACTGAAATTTGCAATGCGAATATTTCAACTTTTTCTAGGAATATTTGATTATTTCGAAATAAATAATGCATCACAGAATTATTAATGCGAGATTTAATCCCATGCATTTTTAATTGAATTTTTTAACAAATTTTAATGCTATGGACAACAGAGACTTGTTTTACGTATTGTGGGAACCCTGAATGCATAGATAGTTTGGTAGTTCGTTGATTTGTTTGGAATTAAATTTACATTTTCAGTTACTGCCTGTAAATTTTGTGTAAATAATTCAAATTATTCCAGTTTTTTTCAGCAATCCAAACATTATCAACGATAAAATGGATCGCGCATTTCCATTTATGTGGAAGCCAGTAACATTAGATATTCCAGAACAGCATTTACGAATAGCGCATGTTATCGAAATGCGTAACGAATTTAAGAATGGACGAATGAAGCAATTGAAAGATATTTTTGGTGATTTAATTTTGAAATGAATGAGCCGTCATGTTTTTCAAATGAGTTGATTGCATTCTTTTTTTATGGTTTTATTATATCAAACTACTAATTAGTTATGTTAAAGTGTGTGCTTATTGATTACTTGCCATTTTGATCGATATGTTGTAGTTATTTCAAATATTTTCAATTACTGAGCGTGGTTGCTAGATGTTCCAAATAATTGGAAATTTTAACAATAATCATATTTATTCCAATGAAATAAGCATTGCAACTTTAATTTTTGCATTTTGTTTAACAATAATTAACGTGGAGGAAAGGGAAGAGAAAATTAGAAAACCCAAAATTTTCAAGAAAAAAAGCAAATTATTTACGAGATATAAGATCGGATCATTTTAATAATAAGACTCATTTTATAAAATTTTTTAAATTTACATGGTTGGAAGGTTGCATCCATTGCTGTGTATAAATCATTGTATTATGAATAACATCATTGAAATATCGTCCTTACATTGTTGTCTTTCATTTCTGACGAATCTGTAAATATTCAAATTTCATTTTTCATAGTGAAAATACAATAATGTTGAAGACTGTGAACAAAAAAAAAAAAAGAGAAAAAGCCCGTTTATCCTTAAAAGTCTTATCTTACAAAACTCGCACGATATCCTTGCCATACTTATGTAACAATAATGATACGATACGATACGATATGTCATAATTCACTTTATATTTTTCCAAAAATAATTTTTGTAACAGTTCGTAATTTACGGTTGATTTCTTCATTGATCAGCCGCGGAAGAAAAATTAATATAAAATTGAAGAAAGAAATTTCGTTTACTTTTCTCTACTGAATGGTGGACAAGAATGAATTTTAGAATGGAACCTTAGCTTCTTCGGTGTATTTTTGCATTCATTGATGGCATTCCTTTTCAATATCTATTGGCAAATAATCTTTTTGTTCGTCAATGAACTTTTCCAATGGACAAAGGTCAGATGTTGCTGGACATCCTCGTAATAAATGAGTTATTGATTTTGGTTCATCCGAATAAATGTTTGAATACAAGAACTAAAGTTTTGATTGGTCAGTATTTGAAATAAATCAGATGATAATAAGTGAACAAGATGATACATGAGAGGGAGAATGGTGTATTTTAAGCTGTTTACCGAGCTGGGGATGGCTATGAAGCTGAAGAACTGCTTCAAATATTAGCCTAATGCTACCCCAATGGTTGTATTTACCCGTGGGAAGGAGATTGATCATTTGAATTACCATAGCATTTGTTTCCAAAAATAGATGTTAAAAAGTTGAAAGTCTTAAATTTATAGTTTCCAGTCGCATTTTTTTTTTGTTCCCAAATTTCAGCAAATAATTGTCACAATAGCTCCTCAGTTAGGTAATTTAAATGACAAACTTTGACGTAAGGTTGATTATGGAAGCGATAAAGCTCGGAATATACAGTAGCACCATATTGTGGATCATGGATGTCCATATTTTCAGAATTTACTCCCAATGCGACCAATAATGCGGAAACTGTCACATCATGCTGTAATTTCATATTTTGCTTTTGAAATTTGAGAAATGAATGAACTAATATATTGAAATTCAAAAAAAATGAAATGTTATAATTTAAATTTGGGTGAAGATCATAGGTTCAACATTTTAAAAATGCAGTTAAAGTTAAATTTTAAATATACAGCAGATAATCCATAGAATTTGATATGTTTGTACCAGATACACTTGATACTATCATCATTTATGCATTCCCATTTCCGCTGTAACTTATCAATGATAGCATTCAAGATAACACCTCCACGTAATCGGATTAATTTACTCTTTGGTCCGAAATATTTTCCACTTCCAAGTCTTCAATTTATTTTTAGTTTCAAATTTAAAATAACCAAAAAGAAATGAATTTTAAGTTGTGAAATTCAGGACTAATAATACAAGCTGTAATAAAATTGCCGCAAAGAGTTGAAATGTTGAAGAAAAAGAAAATAATTAAATTTTATATTCAAAAATGTAACTGCATCAAAATTAAAATTTCAATGGAATAGAAAATAATTTTGGTAATACTACGAAATCAATTAAATTTTACAATTTGGCAAGTAATTAATTTCTGATATTTACCGGTATTTTCGTATTTCTGCACGTAAAATTTTCATTTCTTTTTCAATCTTCTCTGTAAACCATTCCGGTAATTTCAAATTATGAAAACGCTGCAATTGCCGATATTGGAAATGAATTAAATATGCATTCGATTATTATCACTTCTAATTTATCAATGATGATAGCAATGCTACGATGTAAATTATTATCTTTTGCCTATAAAAATATTGAAATATTAAGGTAATATTAATACCATTGAATGATAGAATAATATTTTCTCTATCAAATCTGAATATTATGATAATAAAAAAAGAATTATAAAGAAATTAATTAATTACTTATTAACTTGATACTTACTTCAACAATTAAAGTATCCAAAAGGAAACTGAAACGTTCATCCGGTTGAAGCCTTTTATAACCTGTCATGTTCGACAAATATGCTAACAAATCCTTAATTCTATCAGTTTAAATAACCCAACAAACAAATAAAAAGAAAAAGTAAGAAGTATGTAAAGAATTGTAATCAAAAAAATCTAATCCTAAAATTTAATTAACTAATTAATTAATAACATAAGTACATGCAAAAAAGAAAAGAATGGAAGAGGAAAGAGCAAAGAGTTGAGAAAAGAAAGAGGGAAAAAAGAATTTGAAGAAAAAAAGAAATGAAATTCTAATAATTTCAAAAAAAAATTTTTTTGATCATAATGAAAATTGTACAAAATTCGAATTTAGTTATAAGAGTAAAATTAAAGCAAAGATAAAATGCTACCATCATTCCTTTGCGCATTTTACCTTGTCTTGTCTCTTTTATCTTCTCTTGTTGTCACTACTTTGTCGCATCTCAAAACATAATTTACCTGATATTTTGCTGTTATTTCACGAAAATCATTGCTTTGGTATCCTTCCTTCTCTAGAAGTTCTGCTCGAATGCAATGATGAAATGGATTACCTGTCTGATATAGAATATACTTAAATATTTTTTCGCCTATCATTGAATCAACCAATGAAACTTAAATAATTTTAGATGTTTATTTGTCTAGCAAAATAAGCTTTGCTTATTGTATAAGAAATTATTGCATATTAGCCTAAAAAATATGTAAATATTAGCTATACCAAACAGTTTAGCATGTTGAATATGTTAAGCATAAATCATGCTATGCAAATTACTTTAAGCAGACTGCAGAATTAATTTATCATTTTTTTTTCACCTATTTCTGCCCGCTTTCTTTTATTATGAAATATTGAAAAAAGCATACACGATCATGTTTGAATTCCACCGTATGAACGGGAATCGGTATCCAACCGTGAGGCCAATCACTTTCTTTAGGGTAATCTTTTCCGGAAATCCCATTCGGAAACATTCCGGCTAAAACTGCCATTGCACTTGTAATAGTTCGATTAAAATCTGTGCTTCGAACATATATCTATAATAAATTTTGTAATTAAATTTCTCGTAATTAATGTATAACATTGAAATTTATTGATTTTTTTTTTTCATTTATATAACGTCTATTTATTTTAATGATACTATCATTAAAAATGTAAATTTATTTTTTGTTAATTTTAAATAAATGTTTGATAAAGATATAAGGAGTTTAATTTTTAAATTTTTCCTTTATTATTTAGGGAAGAAGTTTAATTGATAAATTTACACCTCTTTATTGTGATAATTTTTTGATAAGAATGGTGGCGTACAATTGATATATTGTTGATAGAAACGTTTGCCAACTTTAAATAATTGTCGCATACCAATCTATAAGAATTGGAAGAATTCCGTGAAAAAGAAGAAAAAAAAAAAGAATATCTTGGAAATTTTTAGAATGTTTAATCGTTTATAATAGCTTTAAAACATTTTTTTTTTTTACAAAAACGTAAAAAATGATTAAATTGACCTCGGTAAGTTCACCTCTTCCATTAGGCCATACTGATTCGTTGTATGGATCATTCGGATACATTACTAACGGTCCTCGATCACCATGTCGCCATAACTGTAATAATTAAGGATACAAATTATTGATTTCTATTTAAAATATTTCAACCATTATTGATTAGTAGTTCAATAAGAAGAGTAAAATACAAACAATAAACAAAAGTTTAATTAAAAAAAATAGGAAAAAAAAAGACGAAGAAAATACGAACAATATGAACGAAAAGTAGCTCTGGTATTTCCTGCTTTTGATTTGTCATTGAAGAATTGGTTGAATTTACCGTTTCCGATAAACCAATTGAACTGATCCATTTCTCGGTAAAACAACCAGAAGTAATGAGTAAAATTAAAATAATTAGCATAAAGGATCTAAAAAATCGTTTTTTTTATTTTTGGTAATTCAAGAAGAAACAGAAAAATTATTAAAGTAAATAATTAATTGTTAAAATAAAATAAAAAAAGTAAATCCATCAAATAGTGATCCTTTTTTTCTCTGCAACTTTTAAGAAAATTGAAAACTTTTCCGGTAACCGATTGTCTTTATCGTATACTATGTTCCGATTCAGGAATGATTTCATATTACAGCATAAAACAAGACGAGATAATATTTAAACATTCAAATATTAGATCCACTTCAATAATCGTTAGATAAGTTCATCAATTTTTTCTTAATTAATTAGTTAGCCCATTAAGGAAACACCTAATTTTTATTATTTCTACTTGAATTTGATTGGAATGTTAAACGAACAATAAATAGTTAATGTTAACAAAGATTAGCATCAAATGATTAATTGTATTCAATTGAACAATTGTGATCATTCATTATTAGCTTCTGATGATAACTTATCATTGTCTTATTTTATCTTCTAAACTTTCACTTTCTTCTCTCTCAAGCATTATCATAACCATTTTTGGTAGTAAATTATCATGCTAGTTGTATTGCTATTTCCATTATTGGACTAATTATCTAATCATTTTTTTTTTTTTTGTATAAATTGAACAGTAATTAATGAATTGAAGTAATAATTACAATGCAATTATATGTAAATGCATTAACAATATATTTTAACATGAAACTTGCAAAAATCAGTAAAAATAAAACAATTATAATTAATTAACGACAAAAAAAATTGATTTTAAATAAAGTTAGCTTAAAAGATGGGAATAGCTTACTTTGTTTGTTTAGCGATATACAATAAGACTGTACTACTTATTGAATAAACTATTAATTTATAAATTAAACTTTTGGTAGGCGGAAATTGTTAGGAAAAGATAATGTAAAGATTATTTGAAAGTGTTTTCATCAATATCTTCCTCACTAAATAATTTTCAGGGTTCGGTATTGAGATATCTCATTCTTCTTTTTCATTAACCATTTCAATCTCACATGTTATGCTATCGTAAGTCTTTTGGATCCTATCTTGTCTAGTCTTTGTATAAATCTTATTCAAGATTTTAGAAGATGAAATCATGAGAGCAAAAGTGACAATATTAGATAACTTTAAGAATTTAATTATTCGACTACTTCCTTCATAGTGATTAATCTGTTGTTAAATTAAGAAGAAATTTCATCTAAATTCATTTTGGACTACGAAAAAACAAAAAACAAATAAACAATTCATATCAATCATTTTGATGTTTGATCTTTAGATCGGAAGAATATATCATTGAATACACTCAATGTGATATAATTGCTGAAATAGTTTTATTCGTAGAAGAAAGCTCATAAATTAAATTTCTTTCTTTTTTCTTCATTAGCCGATTTGTAATAATACTAATTTGCTGCTAAATTTACAAAAACTTCATTATGTCCATGTATCGACGTGAATTCTTCTGCAACTACATTATCATTTATTATTATTATTATTTATTATTATTATTATTATTATTATTATTATTATTATTATTATTATTATTATTATTATTATTATTATTATTATTATTATTATTATTATTATTATTATTATTATTATTATATTATTATTATTATTATTATTATTATTATTATTATTATTATTATTATTATTATTATTATTATTATTATTATTATTATTATTATTATTATTATTATTATTATTATTATTATTATTATTATTATTATTATTATTATTATTATTATT